GTAATTGCATTCCTCCGGTTTAGCTCCCTCTCAGCCTCCACGGGACAATGTTGTCATCAGATCTGCTTTTTCGAATCAGCTTTCCAAGGGACGTCTGCAGACAGCATGGTCCTAGAGGCTGTCTCATAAGGCGGAGACAGAGCAGAGCCCAGCCTTGCTGAGTTGGCTTCAAGAGCCCCTGGCCCTGTCCCCACTAGCGGGGCTGGGACTCCTTGGGGACAGCTGTTGGGGGTGGGGTGAGAGGTGATGGGGGCCTCTCTTTCCACTTGTCCCACTCAGCTCAGGGCAGAGTGGCTCAGGAGGGTCAGAGCAAGCAGGACTGTGGTTCTGAGGGACAGACATGGGGTGTGGGGCCACCTGGCAGCAGCCTGCCGGGGGGTCATCCTGGCCATGCGCAGGCCACCTGTGTGACTTTGGGCAGCGAGTCTGGAAAAGGAACAGATAAAAACTGAAAGAATGAAGCAAGAGGTTAGTTGAATCCCCTTTCATCCTTCTGAATTAGCAATGGGGGCAATAGGTGATTACCTGGGAGCGATTCCAGAGCGGTTCTCTCTCAAAATATGTCTCCATGTAGGTGCCCTTTACGGTAGTGATTGAGGCTTGGGGTTAAGCATTGTCTTTTTCCTAAGTGTCTAAGTTTAGTTCTCAAGCGCTCCTGGGAGCTCAATCGAAGAGAAAGGGTAAGAATGAAAGCTCAGATGGCTTGGGTTTAACATACTGGCAAGCTGCTTCACTGCTCAGAACCTCAGTTTCTCATCTATAAAATGGGAATAAGCACAGTGCCAAATCACTGGGGTTTTCTTGAGCGTGAAGTAATCTGTGTGGGATTACAGAGTGTCTGGGACAAAGATGGTTCTCAACAAACACTAGCTTTCTCATATTGTCCTAAACATCATTTATTAACCGCTAACTTTCCTTAAGTTGGGTGATGGGGCCTCAAGAGGTCCTTAGGGTTTTGGAGAGATGGAGTGGGGGGAGTAGGAGGATGGGTGAGCGTGGGTGGTGGGGGCCAGGAAACAAGAGGAAGAAGGTCTTTGCTGAGTCTCCGCTCAGTGCCTCCACTCCATCGTCTCCAATACCCTAAGGACCTCTTGAGGCTCCATCAGCCAACTTAAGGAAAGTTAGCGGTTAATAAATGATGTTTAGGACAATATGAGAAAGCTAGTGTTTGTTGAGAACCATCTTTGTCCCAGACACTCTGTAATCTCACACAGATTACTTCACGCTC